TTAGCTTCTGTAGTATGCTTGCATGAAAATATATAAGGCAACTTGCCCTCTCTTAAGGTGGAACTGTCTCTCAAGACAGTCCCCTGCACAGATTCAATAAATTTCTGATTGATTGCACTTAAGGGGAGTCCAATTCTATATTTTCAGGTCTAGGGGTATTACAATGGTAATTTTATCTTTAATTTTTTGAGGAACTGCCATATTTTTCATAGCAGCTGCACTATTCTATAGTCCTACCAACAGCACACAAGTTTCCAATTCTCCACAGTCTCACCAACACTTGTTATGTTCTGGAGTTTTTTAATTAATAATCATCCTAATAGGTGTGACGTGGGAAAATGACGTTTCCGCCATTAAATTTATATCCTGAATCCTCACCTATGTGCCATCCATTTGGAAATCTTATTATGGAATTATCTAAGGAGCCCATTGTAGCAGCCCATATAGCCTATGGCTAAGAGGAGTGAGAGTTATAAGACATACCTGTAATGGAACACCTTGGTGAAATGGGCATGGAGAGAGATTTGGGTCTAACAAGCACAAGAGAGCTCACGAGATGAGAGAATTGGTGAATTGGCAGTCTCTACACCTGTGGTGCTGAGTGGCACGAGCTCAGCCTTATATTAGGCTGGAGGAGAAAGCAGTTGGAAGCATGCGCATTCTGTTACAGATCCAGTTACTCTGACTCTGACTCTGTCTCCTCTCCTGCCTGCAGAATGCCAGCCTGGCATCTCTCTGCTGAAGATTACCAAGCTCTGCTAAAGACTAAGCTCTAGCTGTTCTAAGAAGACTGCTTTACTCTCTCTAAGATACTCTGTCTCTCTCTCTCCAGCTAAAGTAGATAACCCTCAAGCACCTACAAGAAACTGTTCCTGAGCAAGGTAGCTTAGTAGTCTGCGTCCAGAACCTACCTAAGCTGGGCCCGAGACCTGGCCAGTCCTGGCCCCTGACAAGGGGTGTCAGAAGCGGGATAGTGAACGCCACTGACAAATGGTGTTTTGAGCAGGATTCAGTAAATGTGGACCGAGAGGGAAGTAAGCTTTAGCAAAATAAGAAGAGAAGAGAAATAGAAATACTTAGAGGGAAAAGAAATATCTAAGAAAGCCAACAGCAGGCCTTTCTCATTTGGGTTTTCCTCTTCTTTCCTACGTTTTCTCTTTCCAAATTCTACCTCTGTGGGGAAAAAAGCTGGTAAAATTCTTTAGCCTCTTCCGTGAAGCGGCTGGAGAAAAACAGAAAAAAGCCTCTAAGAGGGAAAGACAAAAGCTAGACCTAGAAGATGAGAATCTTTAGTAAACAAGCCTCTAGCCTCAGGGGTGAGAAAAGCCTTGGTAAAAGAGAAAAAGTTCAGGAATAAGTTGCAAGAGTTTATTAGGTAGGGAAGAGAATTTCTAACTGCCTTCCCCTAATACCTTCGCCCAATGCCAGCAGGAAGTAGCTTTTGAGAGACCGACGCCCCGATTCCCTTTTTGGCAGTTACGAGTTCTATTTAAAAAGAAAAGAATTGAGGTAGATTGAGGCTGGTGAAGAAATAGTGGAAGTCAAGTTTTGTAAAACAAGACTCCCGAGTAAAAAGAAACAGCCAAAGAGCTCCTGTCTCTTTAAGGCAGCCAAAGGTTCTAAGAATTGAAAGGGAAAGATTGTAAAAAGTAAAAAGGCCAAAAGAAAAAGCCAGTAGAGAAAAATCATGGCAAATGAGATACAGCAGTTGAAATACAGTTGAGAGATCAGATGAATCTTATAGTAGAAGCAGGTAAATGCTATATTGACATCTCAAATTG